CCCACACTGTTGCTTTTGCTATATTCTTTTGTTTACCCAGACAGTCCTGATTCAATGTGAGAAGAGACTACTCAAAGCTGTGGATATCAGGAGGCAAAAATCATCAGGGGCTATTTGGGAGGCTGGCCACCACACATACCCTGCATTTGAAACATGCCCCTCCCTCGCTCTCAAGTTTTCAGGATTCTCTCCCACTTTTGATACCCAGATCAAAGCCTATCCGTTCTGTGATGCCTTCTCTGATCACTCAACAACTAGCATTCCTATTGTAACTCTTTGTTCTCACCAGACATATGGTTTGTATTATTTAGTACCTTGTTTTGAAGACCCATACATATCTTTTCTCTCAGATGGAATTTAAGCAATTGGAGGGGTGCCTCTCCTCATAGAGCAGGTACTCAATAAATATTTCTTAGATGGATGAGAGAGGGAGTGAATGAAGAGTACAAGCCAGGAATCCTGGGTGTCTGGGTGTGGACTTAGCCCCTGTTGCTTAATCTCAGCCAAATCACTTCATCTCTCAGTCTCAATTTCATCCTACATAAAATAAAGACAATAAATTATGTGTACCTCACTTTTCCTCACAGAGTTCCTTTGAAATTTGAAAGATGTAGAACTCAAAAAAGTGTTTGCAAGTATGTTAAGAGTAAGGGCAATGTGAGGTTAGTCACCAAGCTCACCGGTGATGGCTGAGATGTATGTTGTTGCCACAGGTCAGTCAAGACCTCCAACTTCCTCCTCAAGGAATAGTTAACCCCTACGCAAGCTGTCAGCACACAAATGTCTTTCAATCCAACAGCTGCTGTCAGGATATAATGGCTCATGCTGGGGGAGTCTCCAGCAAAGAGAATGGCCTGGACCAGGGAGCTGGGCCCCATCGCAGTCACAGTCCGGAAACATCAAAGCTCAAAGGCAAGATTTGTTTCTCTAGGGGAATTCTCAGGGCTCCTCCTCCATCATGTACTGAGTTTTCAATTTTTCCATTATAGACAATCATCTGGGTATAATTTTTCCATCTCACCCTTTAAATACTATTTTAAAAATGGACATAAATTCATCTTTTTTAGTGTACAGTTGCATGAATTTCAGGACATGGGTAGATTTATGTAACAACTACCTTTACAATCAGGATACAGAGAAGTTCTATCACCCCACCAAGTTCCCTTGTGCTTCCTAGTCATACTCTTCCCTCCCAAGTCAGTGACCTGTTCTTTGTTACTACAATTGTGTCTTTTTGAGAGTACAAATGAAATCATACAGTATGTAACCCATATCTTTGAGATTCATCTAAGTTAGTTCCACTTGATTACTGAGTAATATTCCTTTGTAAGGCTGCATCTCATTTGTTTATCCATTCGTGTGTTGACCTGCATTTGGCATGGGATTGCTGCCTCATGGTAAATGCAGGCTCAGCTTTATAAGAAACTGCCAAACAATGTTCCAGAGTCATTGTACCATTGCAGATTCCCACCAGCAATATATTATATGAGAGGTGCATTTGTCCTTGTCCTCACCAGGACTTGCTATTGTATTTTAAAAGCCATTCTCTTAGGCATGCAGTGGTATTTCACGATTTTAGTTTAGATTTCCCTCAAAGATGAAGTGTCTGTTCAAGTCTTTGTCCACTTTTAAATTACATTGTTTGCTTTCTTCTTATTGTTGAATGTTGAGAATTATTTATGTATTCTTGATACAAGTCCTGTGTCAGTTCTGTGATTTGCAAATATTTTCCTCCAGTTCGCAGCTTGTACTTTTATTTTCTTAATAGTGTCTTTTGCAGAGCAGAAGTTTTTAATATTAATGAAGTTCAGTTTATTAATTTTAAGTTTAATAGATTAGGTTTTTGGTAAGATATTGAAAAGAACTTTGCCTAACTACAGGTCACATAAATTTACTCCTATATTTTCTATAAAAATTTTTACTTTAAAATATTTTATATTTAGATCTATGTTCTACTTTGAGTTCATTCATTTTTTTTTACCCAAATCTTTATGCTTGTTTATTTATGTACATACCAAATCTTGGGTCTGTTAACTGAGAGCCAGCTGGGCTACGCACCGTGCTGTTTGTAAAGATGAATGAGAGATGAGTGCCCTCAAGCTCACAGTCTTGAGAGAAAGACAGGTATGGGGAGGGGGGAGAAACCCAACGTAAGGAATTATAGTGGTATAAATCAAGTGAAATATAAATTAGGTGTCAAGGGAAGATAAAGGTGTGTGAAATTGTTTCCCTACAGAAGTTTAGAATCAAGCTGGACAAAAAACTGTAGTCATTAAAAGTTAATGGAGGCAGTAGAAATTGGAGAACATTTGTTTCCTAAAGAGTTGTATAGAAAGAAGTGCTGTGATTGTTAGGAAGCAGTGAACACTTCAGTCTTCATAAAGGAAGTGGATTTGAGCTTTTTTCCCTTAATTTTTAAAGATAGAGAGGATTTGTATCAGCTGAGAGGATGGGAAGGATCAAAAAAAGAAAGTGGTTTATGAAAAGGTGGGCATGTTAGAAAAGCCCGGGGCATGTTAGAAAAGCCCGGGGCATGTTTTTGGTCCTGGCAGTTGGTCAGTCTGTCCAGTGGAATTCTGGGTAAGGATTCTTTTTCCTTGCTTAAATGTTCATTCACTCATTATCTGGTAACTGTGTCTAGGTTTCCTTTTGGACATCCTCCTGTCACTGCTCTAAGCACAGTAGGAAAACATGTTCAAGGCTAAACAGATGATTACGTTTCCTGGGCTAAAATATTAATTCTAGACATCAGCAAGATGGAAGATTAGGAAGTTACAGTCCTTATAAACATCCCCCCCAAAACACAGAAAGACACATAACACAGACAATAAATAACTACAAACATAAGAAAGTGGCTCAGAAAGGGGCACACAAGACCACCTAAACCAGTGACACCCCAAGAGGACATTGCTGGAACTTCTGTTGAATGGGAACCTGAAAGAGTACAGGGGTCAGCTCTGCTACTGCCATTTTGCTACTGAGCAAGTCTGAGCCTTCAACTCAGCAAACACAGCAGAGGGTACAGCCTAGAGCTGGCTGGACACTGACTCCTGATGACATAATGTGAGTCCTGAATCTGGTCATACCTACAGCCTTATTTTGGAATAGTCAGAGACAAGACACTCCACAGATATGAAACAAAAACTTGAACCAGGTATCTGAGAAGACTGAGGGGGAAACTATGTATAACCAGAGAAAAGAAGAATCTTTGGCTTAGGGGTAAAAATCAAAAATATTCTGCAGGCTTCCAAGGCCTTTTGTGATGTAGTGCTAACCTACCGTCCCACATTTGCCTTCTCTGCATCTCTCTCCCTCACCCTAAACTTTACCTATTATGTATGCCAGACTCCATTCTCTGAATATTTCTTGATCCTTCATAACCCTATGCCTTTGCCAATGCTGTTCCCCATCTGAAATTGACCTTTCCTGTCTTTTTGTTCCTGAAAGCTCTTTAATCATCCTCAAAGTTCTGCAGATGTACACCTTCCTATTGCATGCTTATGTAGTTCTCTATGTTCTTCTCTATTATAGCATTTACCTCATTGCGTGGCATCATTTTGTCTGTCTCTCCCATTATTCTGTGAACTCCTTGAGGGAGCACATTGAGTCTTATACACCTAAAATGCCTTCCGAGCATTTAACACAACATGTCACACACAATAAGTGTAATAGGTGCTTATGGAATAGACAGTGAATGAATAAATTAGAAATGGCAGTTAACAAATTAAGAGAGACCTTGCCAGAGTTCCTTGGCTTTTGTCACAACTATTCCTGGAATCTCTTGCCATCTTGGCCCACAGATTACTAGAAATTTCTTATTTGCTCACTACAACTTACTTGTCCTGTGTTTTCCAGCCCCCCTTTAGTCAGTCATGGCCATGGAACTGGTTTCATTTCAGTGCAGTGAAGTGGAGGCACGGGTACCACTTCTGAGCCTGGACTTCAGATGTCCTTGCTGCATCCTCCATGTTTCCTTTGCTGCTGGCGGGGGACTCTGCATCCCTTTGGGGGTCTTTTTGTTCATTTGTTTCCACAGCTAACATTGGTCTAACTAATATAGGAGCCAATAGAACTTTCTCAGTTCAAACCAGATTCTGAATGTGGTCAATGTTACATACAGGGCAGAACTATATTCTGGAAAGTCTCATTGTTGTCTCTGGCCTCTTGTTTTTAAGAAAAAGGTCACTCGTGATATGAGGCATTGGGTAAAGTTTTGGAGCAATGGATGGAGGATGAGAGGTTCAGTTCTATTCCTGGGTCTGCCCCCCACTGGCTTTGGGTTCCCAGCCAAGGAAAATGACAGCATGGATGCTAAAATAGCCCACCCAAGGGGAAAAAACATAAAAGCAAAAATAATCTCCCCAGCAGAAATGCAGGTGATGGCGATTTCTGCCACAGGAGAAAATAATGCCCTTCTGCCTCATCTTTGCCAGGCTTCGCTAGTCCTAACGTGTGATGCCTCCCAATCCTACACATGCTGCTTACTGATTCCAAGTCTGGCAGGCTGAGAAGAGTGTTTTGACCTTTCTTTGGTGCAGGCAGACTGCAGATGCACCAATCAAAATGCCTCTGTCCTTGTCAGTGTCAACTTTCTAAGCCATCGGATGAATATTGACTTTGCTTAGTTAAAAAACAAACAAATAAAAAATGCCAGAAGGAGCAGCACTATTGCTGAAACCCACCAATCAATGTTTCCATGCTGCAGACTTCCCTGGCCTGGAGTATAATCTATTTTTACAGAGCTGTCTCCAGCACATCTACCTCCTGTGAACAGGCTCTCTGAGTGTCGCTGCCCACCCAGAGGAGGGACAGTTATTTCTTATCTTCTTCCACCAGGCTTTCCTGAGTTTGCTTCTGTGGAGAGGAATCACAGCAATTGTTTCTTAGGACCAAAGTTCTCAAAGAGTCAGAGATCCCTAATTCCCCAGTCTGGGGATTAGTGCTTCCCCATGTTCCTCATCAGCACCTGCCACCATATTTGACTCATTTTGTGTTCCTAGGACTGGATGACCCTTATCTGACCCTCAGCCTGAAGAGAATTGCCACCACTGACGTGTAAGAGTCTGGTAAGCATTGGCATCACTGGGAGAATGTCTTCTAGATGAGTGTAGGCTTGCGGGGTTTACCCCCTGGGATTCTGATTCAGTGCATACAAAGTGGGCCCAAGATTCTGTGGTTTTATTGGCACCCCAAGTGAATGTGATGCTGATGGATCTGGGACCACATGTTTAAGAACATCCCTTCCTCTTGTCTGTGAGTGATCTTCTGAAAACACAGACAGGTTCTTGATATACCCCTTAAAAATTCTTTGATGGTTTCCCATTGTCATCAGGATCTGGTTGTAACTCCTTACATGGCACATCAGGGCCCATTGGGAATTGGCCCTTACTTATTTCTCTAGCTCAGTTCTCACCACCTGCTCCTTGTCTTCTTCATTTCAGTCATCCTAAGTTGGGCTCTATGGGACTTTCACTGCTTTGTGACTGTTCTCTCTGCCTGGAACCCTCTGGCCCTCACCCCAGTCTATACCTGGCTCACTGACTAGATCACTCTTCCCCTTGGAAAGTCCTGCTGCCCTTTCCTGACTAAGGAAGGGCCCCACCTCTGTGTTTCCAGTGCTCTGGCTGCCCCCTGCCCAGAGCATTTATTGCTGTGTGTTCTCTTCACCCTTTACTGGTCTGTGTCCCCCACCGGAGCCAGGGCTGCTCATGCATGAATCATGTACTGACCTGGTCTCCAGGGAGTTTGGTTAGGGGACAGGAGACAATGATGGGCAGAGGTGAGCCTGAAGGGCAACTTCCCTAGGTCTCAGTCTCTAAGGGTCAACAAACAACACTGGAAAAACTTGGAAACTGTTTCTGTTCCCATCAAAATAGCAGTGTCAAGGTAAAGTAATAAGACATCCCTGCTGGTGAAGACCCATTACTGAGTATTTTTGCAGCATCACCTAGTTGTTGAAGTAAATAAGAATTGGAAAAGCAAGCAAGTGGTGGCCTAGTGCTATTTATAGGAGCACTGGGCTGTTTCAGGACTGTATCATGACCCAGGAGCTCTTAATTTGGGGACCTCATTCGAACATGCTAAAATACAGAAATGCCCACATCCCACATGGAACCTAAGTCATCTCACTACATGTGTTGAGTAGAATTGTCCTTAGGATAAAAAACACCAAGGTTGAAGGAGCCTGGGTCTTAGAATGACTGGCGAGGAGCCCCCTGCCATCTTGACCTGCTTCCATCAAGACTGTTACCTGTGAAAGAATATTCCCCATAAATCATGATATGGTTGTGTCTCTGTTACAGAAAGTCAGCCTTCACTGTAACTAATATGGTGGGATCATGTCTCCCAGGCAACTTTGTCAGGGTGAAGAGCCTGACTCAGCAATGAGTTTCTCATTCATTGCCCAAAACATGTCCTGCGAGGAAAGCTCTGTGGGGAAAGCAAGCAGGTAGAGCTTAGCTTGACCATTCCATGCATGTACCTAGTAACCCACACAATTAACCCAAGAAGCCATGTTCCCTCCTTCGTACTCCCCTGAGGAAACAAATAAAACAAATGAAAAAGAAAATAAGCAATGTCAAGAGTAGGAAGCACTTCCTTCCTTCGAGAATTCAGAATGTGGGTGCCTACCCTCAATTAATACCTGGGAAATACCAGGACATTCTCTGGAGCAAAATGTGAAAAAGGGAGGCATTGAGCTCTCTAAATAATGAGTATAGGAAAAGCCAGTATCTTTCTCTTGCAGGCTGTTGCTACCTTCTTATGAATACAACAAATGCATTTGCTTCCAATAGCTCCTAGCTGCCCAGAAAACCACAGAGCCTTGTCATTTGTGCAGCTGCCCAGAGCCTGCAAAGAAGATATCATGATCCCATTCTCCAAATGGGAAAATGAAGGCTCAGAGGTTGAGGGATATATTTCAAGTGCAGTATAAGCAAGCAAAGAAGTCAGCAGGAGATAAGAGCACATCTAACTCCCTAGTCAATTTTCAGTTCCCCAGATAACACAGAACCTAAATAAACCTACATCAACACCATATGGTCTCCGCAAAGCAGGGGGATGTTGGGCACCAGCATTAAAACGGGCAATAAAGGAAAGATAGTTTGTATGTGTGAATAGTCAGGAAGCAAACTATCCTTTGGATAATTTTCATCATTTTTAGTTTAGTAACCCAGGATGACATGAGTTTTGACTGGACAACTTGACGCATACCTATCCAGTCCTTCTTTTTAACTCAAATGATAAGAAATCCCCACAATTGTTGTGAATGATTGATAGATAAGAAATTCATTAAGCATGTTTAGAATTCTGGCTTATTAAATATGCTTCTTGGCTGGAAATCTTGAAGTCCCTTCACAGGGCTTGCCTTGAGTTTTGAAATGAAAATACATTCTGTGTTCTTTCGGGATGAACTGTTTCAGAATTTTCTTCAACGCCAGTAGGAAATGTAGGTGCAGTAAAATGATGTGCAAATCTCTTAACCTGTAACAGCCACCAAATACTCCAATGCACGGCCTCTGGACACAGCGATGTGTCCCACTAGGCTGCCATAAGGACAAACACGATTTGTCTGTAGAATTAGACTTCACAGTTAGAGGCCCTGCTTTGGGTGCGTGATATCCTGCAGACTACAGGCAGATTTAGTGTCCCCAAACAGATGGGCTTTCCCTTTATGGGCCACTCTTAAGTTTCCTAAGCAAACTGCAGCTGCACTAATGTCCCTTTGTGTAAAGGAGTGTATAAGTTGAACAACTTACTTCCCTTTACCTGAGTTGGTTTCAGAGCTTTGAGCCAGGGATAACCAGGATATGCCAATATATGCAGAAAAGGAATATTGCCTTCTTTGCACTCTTTAGGATGGACTGCGACAGGCAGAAAAAGCTGCTCTGGACGTCAGTGAGGGTCTTTAGTTATAAACAGCAAACCCACTATAGCTAGTGGAAACAGGTTGGAAAGTTGGTAAAAAAAAATGTGGTGGCTAATGGAGTTTCTAGGAGGCCACAGGGTGGAGCCAGGCAGGTGCATGAACAACAGTGCCCAGGCTGCAGTGCTAGGCTGCTCCACAGCAGCAGATGCCAGCATGAGCTGGGATGCTATGGCCAGGAACTCTGATCTGGAGGCCTCGGAGGGCTGGCTGAGTCTCCACCTCCCTCACTGGAATGCACTCTTTACAGCATCGTCTTCTTCATGACATTCCCTTTCAAAGTAAAATCTCATGTGACAAATCTGATGAGTGGAAACTAGGTCACATTTGTGGAAACACATCTCAAGCTACAAAGGAGGCAGAGGAACCAAGTGTCTGACCTCTCTTTTGGGGAAGGTGGAGGATTTCCCAGATGCTGAAAGGATGTTCAAAAGATAAATGAGGACCCACTACATAAAATATGTCCACTATGTCTACCCTTTGACTATTCAACAGAGCCCTAGAAACTTCCTTTCATACTAAAATTCTACACAACTTTAATTATAAGAACAAAAGTCTTCTACAAATATAAGAACATCATGCAATTGCATATTCCTTGTACAATTGAAAAATGTACTTGCCTTCTCCTCAAAAGGGGGGCAAAGTAAGGTCTTGTCAGTTTCCATGTTGAGCTCCAAGCTTCTACATCTTCTACAATCATCTTCTACAATCAAGTTGCAATCCCATCTTGATATTCTGTGCCCCAGACACTAAAACACAAAGTTAATTACCACCCTCTGTGACCCACACACCCTATAAAAATGGAAGGGAAGGAGAAGACAGGAAGATTAGTCAGTACACGTATATGGCAAGGAAGAGAAATGAAGGCTGTTGTTGTCATTGTTTCTGCAGGTGCTCACAAGTGTATAAAGAGTGTTCATGACATTCTTCCCCCACACCACACCACTGTTTGCTTTGCCCTCAGGGCTCTGAATGTGTTTGTGGCCTGAGGTCACTCCAATGATGTTTCTCTATTGGTCAAGGGGTTCTTAGATGCAAACAGCAGAATCCACTTTAGCTAAAATGTGCAGATGCTCAGTGTATTAAACCATATGAAGCAGTTCACAGAGTGCCAAGAAGATCCAATATAGAGGACTGGAACCATAAACAGTGTCCAAATGACCACCAGCCTGCTGCAGTTAGATCCTCCACTACTGACCCCCGTGCAGCCCCACAGCCTGCTTGGCCGACACCAGGCACAGGATGCCTCCACTAGGCCTTCTGACACGGCTTCTTGTGAAACATGATCATCTCTCCACCACTCTCCCCGACACGGAGTCTGTTCAGTATTTCTTTGTTCATGTCACTCTCTTCTAAACTGAAATCTCACAAAAGAATGTTTGATCCTAAGTCTTAGAAGAAACTGGAAAATGTAGGGGATGGTAGGATTCACAAGGTAGAAAATGTCCTCACTATATGAAAGATGTTGAAAGCATGAATAATACCTATTACCACATGTGGCTAGCTCCTACACACACACACACACACACACACACACACACACACACACATTCATGAAATCAAAATACCAAACATTTCTATTACTTCCAGAAGTTTCCTTGTGTCCCTTTGCAATCTCTCCCTCCCTCTACCCTTGTCCCCAGCAACTACGAACATGTTTTCTGTCACTGCAGGTCAATGTGAATTTTCAGGAATTTTGTATGAATGGAATCATGGAGCATATACTCTTTTGTTGTTGCTGTTAGGTTTCTTTCATTTCAGCTGCATTGTATTCCCTGGCAGTCCCCTAGAGGTATTTCCCCCACCCAAACCAGAAATTGTCTCATGCACCAAGATGATCATGATTTGACAAAATATATATGTTGCAGACAAAGAAAACATTGGGCTTTGTATATAACCTTTTTCTGAGATGCTCAGGGAACTGTACAGCCACCTCATCTTAGTGGTAAATAGGAGTGAAATTTTCTTTTTGGAAGGTGCATTAATTCCTATAATTTGTTCTTGTTCTGTGATTGAAATTCCGAGGACTTAGACGAGCCCTTTTTAAAACAGTCTAGCACCTGGGTGTGGAGCATCCTGATTTCATTTTACTATTTGCATGAAGTGGTCCATCCACTTTGTGGGGTGTGAACCGAGCTGACGCACCTGTGAGTGAGAATGGTTTTCTCTGTGCTTGCTTTCCTAACAGTTTGTTGGAGGAACCGGAAATGCCAAGTGCAGGGATTGGACTACTCGGCCTCACAGGCCCTCCGTCTTCCTTGACTCCAAGAGACTCAACAAATCATGCACTTTAAATATGGTAAAGTTTATTGTATGTAAAATCTTCCTCCAGAAAGCAGTAAAAAGAAAAGGGGGGTATGGTACTAAACTAAGTAAATGAAGTGTGAAATGAAGAACAAATTAAGCTGTGAGGTATATAGGAATTTAGTGGAAGCCTTCACCATCCTGAGTGAGATCCTTATACCTAGAAAGGCTTATCTCGAAGTTAGAAAATGTTCCCTAGCATAAGATATCTGGAGAGGCCCATATGCCCCAGGTTTTCCCTCCACCTGTGTGCAGCGGTACCTGAAATTCCCTCCAGTATCTTCCCCCCAACAGAGCCCCTGGAGACAGGCTTTTATACTGAGTGTGGGCATCGTGTTACCTCATTAGCTAATGCCTTACTTTATTTACACCAGTGGCTCCCAACCTTTCCCCCCAGGAACCCTAAATTACACACCAGGGAGATTCTGTGACTCTGGGGCTCAAAAGTAGCTCATAGTTTTCCAAGTGATGAGTCCTGCACGTCAGCATCATTACCAGAATCCCAGCTAGCTCTTAAACCTTAAGCTGCACCTATTCTTTGCCTAGTCCTTCTGCACCCAGCGCCTTTGCTGTCCCCTCACCGACTCAGGCAGAAACAAAGATGGGCCAGCAGGACTGTGACTGCTTCTTTTGACCCTGGCCTCATGTTGCTCGTGATCATGGAGCTGAATTTTCCTTGCAGTTGTTTATGCCCATCCACCCCCGACCCCCTGAAAAGAAATCATACCTCTCGCTCTACTTTGTTTCTTTTGGCTATAAGGCTAAGAAGTCACTCAAACGGTTCTTTATGATCTTCTATTTAATTCCTGAGAAATATTACTTTCCATGCTGGCCTGGGGTTGCCACCAGTAAGGTGGCTAATGTTGCAGAGTGATTGTTTAGTGTGATTTACCTCTGTGGGTCCACAGCCATTTTGCTGAAATTGACCTGTGGGAATAATGTATAAGATGGTAAATTTAGAATGTAGGGAGGGCATGAAGATAAAATCAGGAGCAAGAGGGGGTGCCAGGTTCCGGCGTGGTGCTACAGATGGGAGCACAGGGAGTTGGGAGGCCCTATGGAGACGATGCCCATGTCCCAGGGCTGCTGGGCCTCCTCCCCTCTCCTCTATCCTGGTGGTTCTGAAGTGTGAAACGCACGCAGCTCTGGACACCCCTGTCTGGACAGAATATCCTCCTAGGAGCTTAGAATCCACACAGGTCTTGTTTTCACACAAGGGAAGCTATTCAGATTTAAGTTAAGCTTTTAAGTTAATGATTCGCTAATCTATGCATCTCGAAGGGGACAACGTGGAGCCTCAGCCTCACAGTCGCTCTTGGAATCTGTGCCCTCGCACAGGCACACACACAAGCCTCATTTGTGAAGATGTCTTTGAAATGTATTCGCTGAAGATAATTATAGAGGTCTAACACTTCTGCTCTTCAATTAATGCTATAAAATTAATGGTCCTTCATTTTTACATCCTATGCAAATGATGGTGTCATCTCCAAGTGTAAGCCTCTCTACTCACGCACTGAATATGATTAGTGTCCCTTTAAGCTGAATTAGAGCATGTGACCTTCTGGGGTATGGCAGGAGCAAAACCTTCAAGTGCTATTTCCAAGGTTTCATTATGATATCCTCTTAAAAAGCAGAAATTCAGAGTTGACACCAAGACACGTTTCAGTGACTGATCTTTTGGGGTTGTGGCCTTAGGAGAGAGCAGACAGGAACTGGAGGACAGCTCATAAATCTCCTGTTTTCAGCCCGAGAATTACCAGACTCCACAATAAGTGCATTTCCAAACAAAGGACAGATAGATTCCGGTGCGATAATGAGGCAGGTATAATGGAAATGCAGTGGTCCTCAAGCACTGAACCCATTAGAATATTCTTTTGCAAATAGACCCAGGAAAATGCTTGGTCAGAGAGTGGATGTATTTTCTTGACAAGAAGTTCTGAGAACTTACATAAATGGTAGGCGCACTGGCTCAGAAAAGGAAAAACTAAAATGTTATGATACTTTTATTTCAAGAACCGAAATCTAAGGAACTTGTACTTTGTGACCTCTGATGAGGGCCATGAGACCTGGCAGAAATCAGTGAGTACACCCATTTATTCCACGAGGTGCATTTTTGCATGGTAGGCAGCTTGGATGAGTTGAAAATATCACACAGCTCGGATGCCCTTAGACTCAGAGTCAACAACCTCGCCCTTGGTTGGAGGGTTTTTGTGAAATAATTAAATACCATCTGGTATTCGAGTTCTGTGGAGATTGTGCAAGTTGAAGAAGATTGGGGACTAAGGAAAGTGACAGAAGGGACATGAAAGAAGGAAAATATAAAGAACCTTGGCCATCCCTTTTCCAGTTGGGAGGGGGAGGAACTGTAAGCAGAGTCAAGACACTCAGGTGGAACTGGGTCCCAGGTTCACGAATTCTCCCCTCCCTGGCACCAGTCTCACCGGGATTGACGGACATACTCCTGAACCCAAGTTCAAAGAGAATGTATCATTTATCCTTTGTGATCTGCTGAATCGGGTGAGACACAAATATTCAGGTGATTTGTTCTCTGTGGCAAGCAAGAACCCTTGGCTTCGGGAATATTGATTGTGAGTTGAGAAAATTTGGAAGCCTGAAAGAGGCAGGCGTAAACAGTCTGCCTGCAGCCACAGGCTTGCCTGCTGGGTGATGAGAGCTGCATACCTCGGGAGCCAGCTGAGCTCTTGCCCCGGGAGTGGTGCATTTCAATGAAATAAAAAAGGCTTCCAGTGTGGGTGGCATCACTTTGCATCACCCTGTTGCTGTTTTCTGAACAGCTGTGGCTGCACCAGGCAGGCAGCATGCCTGGTGTACTGCTCTGTCAGAGGAAGTTCAGCAAGATGCCCCCTGTACACTGTTATAAACATGTAGGATAAACCTGGGAGCTAGATTAAAAACAGGAGATGACTTACGTACTTGTAATGAGGTAGAGAATATTCTATTCACCAGAATTTTCCTTAAAGACAGCCCTGAATATATTTAAATGAAGAAATACTTTAGCAAGCCACTTGGGGTGGAGGGTGAGACCCTAGAGTATATTCAAGCTAGAAAAGTTATTATTAATCTGTTCTGCATGAGATAAGGAGAGGAATTTGTCATAACCATAAGGGGGAGAAGAGAGAAAAGAAAAGGAATGGAGGGGAAGTGAGTGAGTGGGGGTGAGTCGGAGACCAGCAGGAGATGGAAGGTTGCAACCTGTGTGAGGAAAAACCCTCTCCACGGTGCTGGCCCAGCCCCCAATTTGTAAAGTGACAAGGCTCACAAAATGCTGGGTGTGAGTGGAGGTTTTTGAAGGCCCCTAAAAGAGCTGAGTGTGGGGTCTGGTTGTGGTGGGTGAAATAGAGGCAGCACCCATGATTGTGAGCATCGGAGGGGTAGGGATGGTCCAGGAGTCTGGATTTTAATGGGTGGTTCAATTGGTTTTAAATCCAGTTTATCTTATTTTCCGAAAGGTGGGGCAGTTGGGGGTGTGGGAAGCTGAGATCTAGAGTATAAATGGCTAATCATAAAGCAACTGAAATATCTAAAGATACCTGTTATTAGTGTATTTTGCATGAGACATTATGTAAAATAAAGGGAAATATTATAGAAGCAAATGTATTTGGAGATAAGGCCTTTAAAGAGAAAATGAGGTCATATAGGTGGACCCTAATCCATGTGAGCTACTTGGACAAGGGCTAACAGTTCAGTTAGTCTGAGGTCATTAGAGTGGAGCCCAAAGCCTACATCACCGGTGGTTTTACAAGAAGAAGAGACACCAGGGGCAGACACGCACCTAGGAAAGACCATGTAAAGAGGCAGCAAGAGAAGGTGGCTGTCTACAAGCCCAGGAGCAAGGCCTCAGAGGCAACCAACCCTGCTGATACCTTGATCTTGGACTTCCAGACTCTGGAACCCCAAGAAAATGAATTCCTATTGGTTAAGCCACCTAGTCTATGGTGTTTTGTTATGGCAGCCAGAGCTGACTAATACAAACTAAGACAAAAAGGAACAAAGCAATACTGGATTGACCTGCTGGAATGATTCAGACTATTCGCCCTTATCCCTAATAGCATCTTACCCCACTTTAAGATTTCACCTTCTTACTCCTCTTTTTTTCATTGGTTGACCACAGGCTCCTTCACGGTGCCAAAATTCTGGGCTTGGTGACCTTATATCTGCCAAAATATAGGGAGAAAACTTCTTAACTCATGGAGTTTGAGAATCCTCTGAGGTTACTCTGATTTTCTGTCTCTCCACATCCTGACCTGTCATTGTCCCCTCTGGATACAAATAATGAACCCCCAACGAGAGATGAATTTCTAAAAAAAATAATAACTAGACTATTCAAGGAATTACAATAGAGTAAGTAGCCTGTAATTCCACTTTTCATCTCTCCTGAAAGAGAAGCATTGTCCCAATACTTAAAGCATTTATTATATCTTAAAGGAAAGCTCTTGTTTCTGGTTCAGAGACTCATGTGGCATTTATAATTATATTCTGGAGACAACATTGCTAAAATTTGGGTTTTCATGCTTAAAGTGATTTTTTAAAAATATATAATTACCTATTAATTCTCCTGAAATGGTGTGATTTGTCTTTTTCTTTTTCTTTTCTTTCTTTGTGTGTATGTGTGTGTTTTGTCATGCCTCATCCCAAACAACCCATTTTTTAAAAGAGAAACTATGAAATAACACATGGGTGCCTTCGCCTTGGCATAGCTAAGCTCTGCAACACATGGTGATATCTGCAGGAATGTTGAACTGAAGTCATAACAATGGGTAATTTTTTAATATAATAGAAAATGATCATTAACTTTTCTTGACAGGAAGGAAATGAATTTTCCTCATTATACACATTCTGAGAAAAGTAGGTATGAAAAAATTTCAAAGGATGTTCTACCAGCGAGACTTCAAGTGTGTAATGACAATAGCCTTATAGAGCCTGGTGTCAGCAAACTGAACAAATAGAGCTTCTGAGGAAAAGAATGTGGTTCACTGTCTCAGAAATACATGTAAATGAATTTGAGATTTTAGAGGGTGATTAATTCAATACAGAGTCAAGTGCCTTCCCCAGGGGTCTTTCTCAGATCTCAGGTAGATCATTATCTTTATCACCTTTCTCTACCCCACCCACTCAGGGCGAATATTCTATTAAACCTGCACAAACCCATTTCAACTTAAAATGGTGCCTCGTAATATTAGAAGCATGTCTTTATTAAATATTCCAAGTAAGTCACAAGGACTTTGAAATATTTTTGTAAGGTATATGGGACTGTGTTAAAAGTTGTTTTTCAGAAGTAATTCACCTCAAACAAATCTCGATTTTGTCCTGGTCCCTTATGCCACCATCCATCAACAATTCTTACCTTGCCCCACTTTTTGGTCATCTCGTTTCTTTTTCTTCCTTTTTTTTTAATTCAAAATTTGTTTTAATATTTTTTGAATTGTATTTTTCCCATTACCATCGATTTCCTTTATACTCCCCGCTCCCTGCAATTACCACACTATTGGCCATGTCCACAAGTCATTTTTCCTTTTTGCTTGATCCCTCTACGCTCTGACCAACCCCCCTCAGCTGTCAGCCTGCTCTCTCTTTCTAAGTCTGTCTCTATTTTGCTTGTCAGTTCAGTTTGTTCATTAGATTCCTCATATGAGTGAAATCATATGGTATTTGTCTTTCTCTGACTGGCTTATTTCATTTAGTGCAGTGTTCTCCAGGTCCATCCATGCTGTTGCAAAAGCTAAAATTTTCTTCTTTTTTTATGGCCGAGTAGTATTCCATTGTGTAAATATCCCATAGTTGTTTTATCCATTTGTCTACTGATGGACACTTGAGTTATTTCCATATCTTGGCAACTGTAAATAATGCTGCAGTGAACATAGGGGTGCTCATGTTTTGAATTAGTGTTTTGTGTTTCTTCAGATAAATTCCCAGAACTGGAGCCACTAGGTCATAAGGCTGTTCTGTTTTTAATTTTTTGAGGTATCTCCATACTGCTTTCCACAGCGGCTACACTAATCTGCATTTCACCAACAGTGCAGAAAGTGTTCCCCTTTCTCCACATCCTCACCAGCACGTTTGTTGATTTATTGATGATAGCTGTTCTGACCTGTGTGAGGTGGAATCTCACTGTGGTTTTAATTTGCATTTCTCTGATGATTAGTGACATTGAGCATCTTTTCAAATATCTATTGGCCATCCACAAATCAATAAATGTGATACACTACATAAAAAAATGAAGGACAAAAATCATATGATTATATCAATAGATGCAGAAAAAGCATTTGACAACATCCAGCACTCATTTATGATCAAAACTCTTAGCAAAATGGGAATAGAGGGAACATACCTAAACATAACAAAGGTCATATATGACAAATCCAGTGCCAACATTATACTCAATGGGCAAAAGCTCAAGCGTTCCCCTTAAGATCAGGAACAAGACAGGGATGTCCGTTTTCACCTCTCTTATCCAACATAGTACTGGAAGTTCTGGCCACAGAAATCAGACAAGAAGAAGAAATAACAGGCATCCAAATTGGAAAGGAAGAAGTAAAACTGTCTTTATTTGCAGATGACATGATACTGTTCATAGAGAACCACAAAAAGTCCACCAAGAAACTACAAGAACTGATAAATGAATTCAGCAAAGTAGCAGGACACAATATTAATATCCAGAAATCAAAGGTACTTTTATATGACAATAATGAACTATCAGAAAGGGAAATTAAGAAAACAATCCCATTCACAATCTCTTCAAAAATAATAAAATACCTAGGAATAAATCTAACCAAGGATGTAAAAGACCTGTACTCAGAAAATTATAAGATACTGAAGAAAGAAATAAAAGAAGATACAAATAAGTGGAAGCACATACCATGTTCTTGGACAGGAAGAATTAAGATCTTTAACATGTCCATAGCTACCTAAAGCAATCTATAGAGTCAGTGCAATTCTTATCAATATACCAATGACATTTCACAGAACTAGAATAAATATTTCAAAAATTTATATGAAACCACAAAAGGTCCCAAATAGCAACAGCAATCTTGAGAAGGAAGAACAAATTTGAAGGAATCGTGCTACCTAAATTCAAAGTATACTATAAGGCCAAAGTAATCAAAACAGCATGGAATTTGCATAAAAACAGATGCATCGATCAATGAAACAGAATAGGCCAGAAGTAAACTCACATCTTTATAGTCAATTAATATTTGATGGAAGCAAGCACATACAATGGCCTAAAGAGAGTTCATTCAATAAATGGTGCTGGAAAAACTGGACAGGTTATGTGCAGAAAAATGAAAGTAGATCACCATTTTATGCCACACCCAAGAATAAGTTCAAAATGGATTAAAGACTTAAATGTTAGACCCAAAACCATAAAAATCCTAGAAGAAAACAGACAGTAAAATTGGACATTGCTCATAGCACTATTTTTTCTATCTCCTCAGGTAGGAGACTAAAGAAAAACAACTGGGCCTTCATCAAACTGAAAAGTTTTTACACAGCAAGAGAAACCATCAAGAAAATAAAAAGATAATCCACTGGGTGAGAGAACATATTTGCTGATATATCTGATAAGGGTTTAATATCCAAAATTTATAAAGAACTTATAAAACTCAACACCAAAAAACCGCAAACAATCCAATTAAAAAGTGGGCAAAGGACCTGAATAGATACTTCTCTGTTTCTTTTCACTCCTTTTGTCTCCAGTTCTCAGCTGCCCAAATACAAACAACTCTCTAAAATAGATACACACCCTAGAATTCTCCTCCCAACATTTACATCCAAGTCAAACCAAAAGGGAACAGAGACCAGATTCATGAATTCAGAGATCAAACATTACTTAAGGTAATAGAAGGAAACAGACCAATTTTTAACCCATCAGGACAAAGTAACCGACTGATTAGATTTTTTCTTTTCACTTCAGTGTTATCCTTGGATCATGGACACACAGCTGCAGTGCTCTGAGGGTCTCGCTGAACATCTCACACTGCCTTTCTTTTTGGTCTATGGGCAATCCATTCAGGCATGGAAATAGGCCACCAGTGCCCCTCCCTCACCATCATAAAGCAGCTTGTTGTTACCCAGATTTGGGTCTGCTCACCACCCACTTCCAACATAATAACTCCTGGCACAGAGTCTGGAGTCGGCAGTGACTGCCCCAGATGTATGAGCCTTCCCCACAATGCTAGCCTCTGACATAGGATCCAACACACAATGGCCTCTGTAGCTGGAAGGACTGTCTGCAACTTGCATCATTAAGAAAAACTTTTTCATGCCTCTCCAGGTTGTCATCACTGATCAACTTTTAATCCATCCCTGCTACTCCCGCCCTGTCATCCTGCTGTCCAGGGAAGCCCTGGCAAGGGAATTTCTGCTGGACATGCTCCTACTGTAAGTGTGTGTGAAACTTTGGCATACCCCAATGTGGCCCTGCCCTTCCTCTCCCCAGCTCCTTCTCTCCCTGGGGCAGAAAGGACTAGGATGGCCGTTCTTGCCAGCCTACCAACTGGGCTGAGGACGGCTGTGCTGGGGGCTTCCCTCAGGCCCTGGGGTTCTCACAGCCTGGCAACAAAGGTCTTCTGTGGAAAACCTTTGAGGGGCCAAGGCTTCTATGATCAACAGAGCAAAACAACGTTTTTAAATCACTATCTTGCAAATGGCAAAACAACAAAATAAAGCAATCAAAAAAACCCTCTAGGTTTCTAAAAATAAAAATCTGATTCAGTTTTGAATTTTAGGATTCTGATTGATTCTGCACCCAGTGATAGCTCATGAAATATATTTAATTGCTGTATTCCTCTCTTTCTCTCTATCCCTGTATTTCCCACTCCCTTCTCCATCGGGGTATTAAACTTTACCGTAAAAGGTAAAATTGAGGTGGAGTTGGAGGAGACTGAGAAAGAACAGAGAAGCCAATTAAAATCAAAACAAAAATCACAACATCTTCCTACTTTCCTCACACTTCACTTGACACTTCTCTTGCACAAAAGAAATAGGTCTTCATTTGACCCTTCCCTTACTAAGATGGAAAACCTGAAACACTGGGCCTTATTTTTTCTACTTAAAGCCTTGGTTTTATTTTGCTGTTGTTTATTTGTTTTGTTATTGTTAGTATACCAAATACAGAGAGACACCAAGAAATAGAAAATGCCATGAAGAAGACTGAGGCATGACAGTTAGGCAGTAAGGTAAAAGTGAGGACCCCCCAAAAATCAACTCCAAGGCAGACACCACATCCTTACAATGACCTGTGAAGAGGACCATGTCCCACACCCACTGTAGGTGCTCAGTGGTAAAGACACGGAAAAGGACAAACCCAACACGCCGTTTGCTGATGTTCATTCATTCCTCACTTCCGCTCACAGTGCTTCCTGGCAGGTATCCATGGCGCCATATGTTTTGGGGAAGTGGGAACACTGAATGCTGTGATTATGGGGAATTGAGTCTTATTGCTTCATAAGATTCTGGGTGCCAGAAATGTTCTGAAAAAGAACATGTCCCAATAGGGGTGTGATGGGAGTCTTAGAACAGAATGGGGCTTTAGAGCTCCTCTAAACTCTTCATTATACAGGTGAGGGAATGGAAGTCCTGGCGAGGCAAAGCAGCGTGCCCAAAATCACACAGGTGGTTAGTGTTTAGCTAGAGCATCGGAATTAGAACCTGGGACTCCTGATTCTCTTACCCTTTAGGCCAACTCACCACTCAGGAGTCTCGGGCTCCAGGCTTCATCCTGGGGCTTTAAGGGTGATGCCACAGGAGTTGATGATGCTGGTGGTCTCCATATTTTTAGCCATTGAGGTGTTAAAAAATCCTTTTTGTTTTCTTGCACCAAGTAATTAATATCAAATCACAAAGGAAAAAAGAGTGTAAAGAAAAATGTGTGCTTTAAAGTCAAAGTAAATTTCAGTTTGGCGCAGACGACAGCTTCGTTTCCTATTCTGTAAACTATAAACATCGTTATCATCATCACCACCATCATCACCACCATCATCATTGTCATCATCTTCATCCATGTCTTACAGGGTTCTCGTGAAGATAAAAAAGTATGCAGGGAGACTGGCACATAGTAAATACCTAATAATCACCATTTGGCAGGAAAAATGTCCTCTAAAACCCCACTGCAAGCCCTGAGCCTGTGAAGCTGGCTCTGTTGTGGAACAGAGGCCTGAAGTGTTCACGGCACAGGAAGAAGCTGTCCCATTGTGTCTCTCTGACGCTCTCACAGCCGAACAATTAAACACTCGGACTGAGGGCTCTTGTTTATGGACATATGTATTGGAACGACTTTGTAATGAGATGACTTCCCAAAACCCAAAGAAGAAAAGCAGTCTCTGAAGCGGCGTACGAAGGAGGAAAAGTGCTTTCATAACATTCAAGTGACGTTGAGATTCCTGTCAAAATAAAAAGGGAGACATAGGCTTGGGATGAGGAAAGAATTAAGAAGAAAAAATATTTTAGAAAGAAGTGATTGTGGAGTCAAAAAAGAGAGATCTGAGGCCTGGTTTTTGCCCTGACTGCTGTGTGACTCTAGGAAAGCCACTTACCTCCTCTGAGTCTGTCTCCTCAGCTGTCAGGTGAAAGTAAAATTATATTCCTTGTGGAGTTACAGAGAAAATGTATTAAAAACTCTTCTGAAGAAATAAGATGTATACACTTGCTTGTTTTAAGTATGTAACCAAAGATGTTATATAAACAGTTTTTCAGAATTGGTCAGATTTTAGAATTTTAAGGCTAGATTTTAGCTTTTTAAAAAAAGTTTCCCACCAAGTGAAATAGGAATTTTAAAAAAAATGTCTTCTACTTCTGAGGTCTGATGTTAACTTAGTTTTCTCTAACATGCCCCCGCCTTTGAGAGTGACATGCTGCTTCACCCATGCTTGTTCGGAACCACCTGACTCACAGGTGACTCAATGGTGGGACTCAGCCCCAGAGAGGTGGGCAGTGGGCGGGAAGTGGAGGGAGGGCCAGTTTGAGTGGCAATCCCTGGTGCCTTGAGGGGGCCACAGCCTGCTTTTCTCCACTGGCCCCTACACTAAGCTACAGTTAGAACACTGCAGCCCCACAGGGATGGAGAAGGAAGGTTAGAAGGGAGGAAAGAAAGTTTTCTGAACATACAGCAGCTCCTTTTGAACATAAAGAGCAGCTGATCTTGGTTTTGAGTTGCACTTCCCATCCTGGAATGTGCCCTTATTGCCCTGGGTAAAGTCGGGAAGCTTTGTGGTTCCTGTCTTTAGGAGAGGCATGCCTGGAGTATGCACAGATGCAAGCACAGGTACCTGCATGCATGTGCATGTACACACATGCAAACACACAGCACAGCCCACAGGTCTGGCAGTCTGCCTTACTTTGCTTGGTGTGTGCATCCTGGAGGAATTCCTGCTCATACTCTTGAGGCTCCGAGGAGATGTGAGCTCTGATTCCACAAGCAGCATCTTTTAAGAGTGATTTTCATTTTGGAGCTAGTCTCATAAAGATGGTCAACTTGCCAACATCATAAGGACTTATTTCTTCTCAGAATTACTTGAAGTTGTTGTACCCTTGGTGATTCAATCACACGGAGAATCAAAGATGGGAGAGAAAGCAGGTAATTAAAATATGTACATAAAGCAGAAGGGGCAATTGCTGGCACACATCGTGATCAATAAACCAATAATTTAGAAAGGCCAGCTTGCGCTTGCACCCTGAGGCTGGTGCACAGAGTCTCTGTCACGTTTTGGGAGAGGCAAACACTCCTTAGGCGAGTGCCACAAAGACCTGCCCGCTGCCACTCCTCGCAGAAGGAGTCTGGGTGTTTCCAGCAAGGCACCGACATTGTCCTCAGTGGCTGTGCAGGTAGCTTGGGCAAGAGGTTCTCTTACAGGCATGATTCTCAACCCTTTCTTTTCCAAACACATACACATACCAAACACATACAAACATGGTGTCCACAAGCCTGATAAGACTCCCCAGGAAACATGCAGATTTCTATTAAAAAAATTAACAGTTTGGGAAAAGTTCATCTCTGTGATTATTTATAGCTGCCAAAGACTCATTGGTTACATCACTAGTGTGGCTTAGGCCACAGGGGATGGGCTTCAGCCTACCTCCCCCCACTCAAGACTGCTGACACGACCCCAGGAAAGAATATTCCAATATAAGGGAGAAAGAGGATAGTAACATAGGGACCATTTTGAAGCTGCCCAACTTATAAAAAATAAAGCTTATTCCTTAAGAATGTATATTTAAGCTACTAGGAACAAATTTCTTTCCATGACTGATTGAAACATTCTTGTATGACACACAGTGGGAGTTAAGGACCACTTTTCCCATGTAGCACCTGGGCTTCTGAGCCCAACCCAGAACGTCAGGTCCTCGTGGAGGCAGAGCAAGCCTCTGGCCCGAGGGTGCAGCCTGACCCATCAGCCCCTGTCCCCACCATCAATACTGTGGGTCAACTGTGGGCAGAGCTATGTGCTGGCTGGCGGGCGGGAGAGAGGTATGAATGAAAACCAAACTCCTGATTTTAGTCTTGAAAGTGCTGAAGGATCTATTGGGGTTGGCAAGACAAACATACACGAAAGACCATGCACAGTCTGGGTAAGGACCTTCCCCAGTGCTGCCTCATCTTGTATGGTGTTGCTCATTTCTGTATCCTGGAACTTAGCAGAATCTTCAGCACTTGAGCAAGTTCCCAGCCTATGCTCATTGCCTAAAAGACATAATTCAGAGGAAAACCAAACATCAGTAATGCAGTGCACCTGGGGCCTAACTAGGAGAAAGGAGCTAGTTGTGTGGCTGCTGGGAGCTTCAGCGAGGTTAATTTGGCAGTGAAGTAAGGATGGCATTCTTTCACAGGAAAAAGGTATGGGCACATGAAGTTGCCTTGAAGAAATGGCCTCTCTGGTTAAGAGTACGGGGGTCTCTGACTTTAGATATGTCATAAAGGTTGATAGGAGGCAGATCGCTGTCTGGCCAGCTGCTGACCGACAGCGTGCACACTGCTCCCTTTGCCCATGTGTACCTTGTCCAAAGGGAAGGAAGGGAGGCTGAGGTCTTAGTGGGGTAAAACGGAATGCCTGAGATGTTGTGAGCTTTGTAGGAAGGAGAGATGCTGCCTGAAACGAGACCGGGAGTTGGTAGAAGAGGGCTTAGTGAGTGGAAGGCTGGCCCAGCAGGGCCTTTGGGACCCTGTGCACTGGGAGAGGGGCTGTCGTTGGTGGGAAGCAGGAGTGTGTCTGGGCAGAACACCTGGCCTAACCTTAAAGCATCCCTTTAGGGCCCACAGGTTCCTAAATTTTTGTCAAAATACGCAGAAAAACATGAAGACATACGTGTATTCAGAAAAAATACAATCAAAGACATTTAAAAATGTCTAAATGCTGTGCAACTGCTACCCCAGAAGTTTCTATGGCCTGAAGCCCTCACCTGTGTTTTGAGGTTCTTTTCTCTCATAGGGAAGGCTCTGGGTTTGGCGTGGGAGGCCTAGCTGCCAGACACACTCTCCCACTGTCAGCACCCCCAGATGCTAACCAGAGAATCAAGTGGGAATCCCCCAGGGCCCTGGAAGGGGAGCATAAGAACAGCATAAAGATGCATTTTCTACAATTTAAATGAGGCCCATTTCTCAGCCAGCTCACACTCATGAATCCTGCAATGATCGTTGTTTCTGATTTTAAGATGCCTGAACCTGTGACTAAAAGAAAATGGGTCAAATCCCATCCTAACAAATCTCAGCGGATGTTCTAATTCTTCGGTAGTCCTTCACGTTGCTTACATTGGGTATTTGCCTAAAGGAAGTAGGACTTGGAAAACATCTGGTTCTACAGATTTTTGGAGGCAATTTGATGCAATTTGTCGGTAATAGGATTTGATCTGTACTAAACCTGAATGTCTGTGTTGTGTCAATGGATTTAATGAAGTTTTGTTTGTTGTTGAGATGTGTGCAGTATCATCCCTCATCCTGTCTTCTGCGGACTCCAGGTGGGAGTGATCAGGCAGGCTGGAAATAACAGTATACTTTATAAGGAGGCATTACTTTGTCAGGGAATTCAAATATGATCTCATTAATATCTTACCTTGGGGAAAGCTGAAGGGAGAGGAGATGAGTTGTTCACAAAAGAAAAACCCACACTCGAAAGCACATATGAAATGACGACCAGCCTTAGCCATGCAGCCCATGGTGGTTAGTCTCCACCGACGGCTCCTTCGGTGAACCCTGCCTCCCATTAGCTGTGCTTTGTGTACCCACTTCCTCAAAACTGACAGGTTCTGTGACTAGCTTTTGACCAATGAAATAGGACAGAAGTGACCCTGTGTGACTTCTGAAGCCTGTGCATAAGGAGACTTGAGTCTTCTTCCTGGGTCTCTTGGAATACTCCCTCTTGAGACAATCCCCCATAGAACCCAGCGGCCACATCGTAAGGAGCCCAAGCCGCATATGAAGACACAGAGGTGCTCCAGTGGACTGCTGAGTCCCCAGCCAGCATGAACTGCCAACCTTGTGAATACACCGCCTTGGACTTTCAGCTCAATTCAGCCTTTGGATAACTCCCACCCCAGCTTCCACCGGGCTGCACCAGGGTGAGAAGGTGTAAGTGAATACTGCCCATCTGAGCCTTGTTAACTTACAGAGCTGTCAGATGAATAAATACATTATTTTAAGCCACTAAGTTTTGGGGTGGTTGCTGACTTAGTCATAATGAACCAGAGCACTGCTCTTAATGTTTAAATAGATGCTGGTTGGTGAAAACTTAATCTGGTCCTCTTGGAACAGCTGTTGAAGATGAGCTTCTGCTGGTGCCTTATGGAGAGGTCTGTGGATTTCCCTCCTCACCTGCTTCAGAAAAGGTAAATCCCCTGTCCATGGGAAGAGAGCATGGTGGTGGGGGGTGGGGCAGTGCAAGTAAAGGGGGAAGTAACAGGCAACTTGGTCAGGTAAATTCCTAGAGGGCCAGGCCTGCAAATTCAGATGCCCTCAAGGGCTAAGCAGACAAGGTGAGAGAATGGTGAGGGTGTAAAGTGGCAGGGAGTAGTGGAGACTGGGTTGAAGAGTGAGTACACACCAGTGTACACAGGGCAGACGCTATAGTCCAAGGGGCCACCGCTGCCTCTGCAGCCAGCTCTTCTAATTTTGGAAGTGAAGCTAGAAATCCATTTTTTAAATGCAAAATGTTGCTGGTTTTTAATTTTGGCAATGAATTTTAAATGTTTTTAAATACTGTGTAGAGGAAACACAATATGCCTGGGACTCCAAGGGCCATGGGTCTGCTGTCTCTACCACAGACAGCAGGATGAAGCCCAGGCCAGCCTCCTCTCAGCACCCGTGCCCTCCGAGGAGAGCCATCACACTCTTTCCCCGGGCACTGTACCACGGTTTACGAAATGCTGAGTACTTTCACATCTACATCTGACTTGAGCTTCTCAACGGGGGACATAGGTAGGCCAGGATTTTTTTTCTTTTTTATAGAAAACAGGCCCAGGGAGGTTTTGTACCTTACCTGAGTCAGCACTGCTCCCCAGTCCACAGCTCACACTTCTGCTCTCTCTCTGGACAGAGGAGCAGGGGGGCAGTTAGGCCCTGAAAATGTGTTGAACCCAGGAGAGTAAAATCAGTTCTGGGCAGCTACGAGTTAGAGAGGAGAAGAATTGAACAAAGCAGCTTGAGAAGCTGCTTTGGGGATCCTCTGAAGTTCCCCAAGACTTATGTTCCATCGGCAGGACTGACAACTTGGATTCTCCCCAGGGAAATGAGATGAATGTTGGTCTCACTGAGTTTGGCTGAGGTCTGGGTCCTTGGAGATGTCTTGGAGATAACCGAAAGGCTAAGGTCATCAAGGTGTGCCTAGGGCTTCCCACATCTCACCACCACACAACACAGACCCCATGGGGGTCACAAAGCCATGACCAGGTCGTCTGTTACTTTCTCATTCTCCCCTTGACCTCCCAGACCAAAGCAGGTGAAGAAGGAAAAACTGGTGACCTGTGGACCCTGGCTGTTGAATGCACCCAGCTCCCAGCAGCACTTGCAGGAAGGGAACATCACATTTATGATGGCCGACATGCCAGACACTTCCACCTCACCCTTTTAATCTTTACTTTAGTCTGTAAGTTGCACACTGCTGTGCTGTGTGTGGTTCTTGTGGGAAAGGCTATGCAGACTTCCAGGACTGCAGAGATTATAAGAGGCCAAGCAACTGCATGAACCCAGGTTGGTCTGCACCTCAGGCTGCCCTCATTCCCGAATTCAGGCTACCTCGGTAGATGTACATCAGCCCTACTGTCCCCTGGGCCAGTGCCACAGGGCACAACATGCAAGTTGTGAACTGCCTAACTCTGCGGCCCTGTCTCTGCCTGGCCATGCTAATGGGATGCCCTGGAGTCCTCTGGGGCGCAATATGCTCTCTCCAAGGTGCGGCTCTGACTCTCCCTGCAGCAAAACCAAATTTTACTTAAGCAATACATTTTCTGTTGGAGGCGGTCTGAGATAATCAGCTACCCTAAACTGGGGCTTCTAAGAAACATCAGTGTTCCCATTTGGCTTAGCAGACATTTCCATTTTCAAGTTGTTCACTGCCCCGCCCCCAGGAGTTTATGGCGGTCATTTAGAACACCTGCCTCAGAAGCGGGAGGAGCCAAGTCTTGCCTCCTGGGATTTGAACTTGCAGTGTAAGAGATGGCTCAGCTGAACTAGGGAATGAGGAGTCATTCCCTCCAGCCAAAAAACAAAACAAAACAAAACAAAAAACAAAGAAGAAAATATCTGGGTCTAGATAGACCTCATTTAGCTCCCTTTAGGGCATCCTCCCCAAAGCTGGCGCTGGAGCCCCGTGTCTCCGGGAGGAAGGGATCTGACTTGCCAAGTGTCTGACACACCCTGCAGCTAAGCCCAGGGAAGGAGAGCTGCTCACTGCCCTGGGTGAAATCCCAGAGGGGAGCTTCCTAATCGGAAGAGAAGTGTCCTGGCATCAGATGTGGGGAAGGGGGGGTCTTGAGCAGTGGGAAATGCAAGGAAGGTATCATTTCTGAAAACAAAGTGTGATGCTCCAGGCAGGGTTTTTAATATTCAGGTTGAAAAGGGTTTTAGATGTGACTTGGCATCTTTGACAACAATCTACTTCAACTCAATTTGCCATAAAAAGATGCCACTTTTGCTTTTTACATAACACATGAGAAAATGCCATGCTTGCCTGATTAAGTACCTGGCTATACTCCTGTGGCCAAAAAACACCATTCACAGAACACCTGGGGTCAGGCCGCCATAGCTGGCTGGGTCAGCTGTGACTCTTCCTAACCACAGGGCTCAGGTCACCACACTCAGTTTCGTGTCCCTCAGAAGGCGCTCCTGCAGTCCCACTGCCTCATGGGGAAAAACGTTATCAAACCATGATCGTAAATTGTCCCTTGCTTCGTTTTACTTCCTCCTGATGCCTGTCAAGCCACTGAGATAAAGAGAGCATCTTCAGCACAGCGAGACAGCTATCACGCACTGAGCCAGGCAATCCATGTGAGGTTTTCCTAACTTTTCCTCATTTCCTGTTTCTAAGTCCCCAGTATTAACCCACAGGTAGCACATGTTGTCCCAAATAATCGACAAATGTCCTTTGGCAACATAGTCGTCGGGACCAGGTAAACAGCTGGAACTTTAGCCACTCTGCTCGTTTATCTCACAGAGATTAAGAAAAACTGCACATCTAGAAACAATGTGTGCAAGGCAGGTCTCCTGGCAATTTGTGGCCAATTACAAGTATACACTGCTTTGCACAATAGATGTGCTACTGAAAAGGTTATATGCAAATCGAATTTTTGTAAATTGAATTATATTTAACATGCACCAAGGGAACTGGCTATTTTAGGGACACCAGAGTTGAATTCATTTTGTGGAGCAGGGAACACTTTGTAAAGCAAATTACCATCCTCCAATTCATATACTCTTTGATAAGGTCAGGTTTTATTATTTTGGACCTTTCTGAACTAGAGCATGCCTACATTGTTAAACCAGTAATAATAAGATATTCGGAGCTTTTGCCAAATTCTAGATGTCAGAGAAGGAGAGAGTGAAAACTAACTCTCCTTCTGAAGTAAAGGATGAACTGGAACAAAGGCAGACTTTCCAGCATTGGTTTTCAAGGATGCCCAAGGTGCTATTATTTCTTTTGGTCTAAGCCCAGCTAACCCTCCTCAACCAGGGCTCTCCACTGAGAGCCCTGTTACATTAGTTCTTTCTGGAACTGCAGGCTAGACTGGTAAGTTCCCAAAGTGACATTCAGCCTGCCCAGGACCTGTTAGCTCTTAGGCCCTCTTATGACAGGGCCCAGGGCCTATCAGCTTTTTAAGATGTCTGAGAACTGAAAGAAAACAACAACACAAAAAATTGCAAATTAAAATCAATGTGTTTAATTAAACATCTACAAAATATAACATTGTGTCAACTTCATTAAGTTTGATATTCATGAAAATTTAATTACCTAAAAATTAGAAAAGAAGAAACAAACTCATTATTCAAAGCTGCTATAATGGTCCACTTAAAACAATCCTAGAGGACCCACAGACAAACTGTCTTAGCCAGTAGAAGCTGGGTTATGCTGTGGTAACAATTAGTCCTGAAACAGCAGTGACTTAACATCACAGCAGTTTATTTCCTTCTCCCGCAGTTGAAGCTCTTAGTAACTGTCTACCACGTGGTGATTCATCAACCCAGGCTCTGCTGTCTCCACACGGTGCATCCACATCTGTCTCAGCAGGAGAGAGGGATGAAAACACCACGCTTTTCACTGCTTCAGCCTGGAAGTGACCCACATCACCTCCACTCCCATTCCACTGGCCACAGCTAGTCACATGTCCCCTAACTGTAGCGTACCTGGGAAGTGTGTTTTTTTTCTTTCCTCTTTGTATGCTCAGGGAGACCTGGCAATGTCTACCAGGTGAACTATTAAGTTAATAAGAGCTCAGCAAGATCAATATACCCAAGTCAATAACATTTTTATACATCTGTAACAAAAATTAGAAAATGTAAATTTAGATGTCCACTTAAAATGCAACAAGCCTTTGGGACAAATCTAACAAAAGATGTGCAAGACATTTGTAGATATAACTATAAAACTTTATTGAAGGATAGAAAAGATGTCAATCCTCTCCAAGTTAATCTGTAGATTAAATGCGATTTTGACTAAAATACAAATAGAGTGTTTGGGGATGGTAGCTGATCCTAAACATCATATGGGATAACAAACAACTCAGAATAACAGAGACAGTTTTACAGAGGAAGAAGGCTGCAGGTGGCAAGCATGGGCAGTAGTGTTTGCACAGGGATAGAACAGCAGACAAACGTTGCAAAGGAAAAGTAGGGCCTTGTTTGGAAATAAAACTGGAGTTTGACAAAGATGCCATTGTAAATCAATGCAAAGAGGGGCCACTGGCTGCTGAGATAACTGAATATGGAAAAAGTGATCACGGATTGCAATGATTATAAGTTGGACATTCTAAAGCAAATAATCCCAAAATAAAATTGTTACAAAATTCCTTCCAATTTTTTGCAGCAAAAATAACATCTTTAGTGTTCATTGTGAGCATAGTTTTTGATATGATGTGGGATGAGGTCTCCCAGCCCAAGAATGGCCTAAGTCATAAACTCCTGTTTCTGCAGTTGAATTTCCTCTGCTTGATTCTCACTGAGTACATCAGAGGGTTGTTTGAATGCCTCCAGAAATGATGATGGGGAATCATCAGCTCTCCAGAGATCTCACTTCATCTTGACTTGTCTCTGGGTAGGGAGCAGTGGGGGATCTCACACCAAGGGGCTATTTACAAGCTGCACATTCACCCCTGTTGAAAGAGGTTTAGTGACTCTAGGGCCTGTTGACGACAATTCCCATGAAGGACACAAGAGCTCCCTGGGAAACTTTCGGGGAGAGAAAGCCAAGCAGACCCATCAAAAGACTAAGTGAAGGGGGAACAAAAAGGAAGCGATCTTGAATCTCACTGCGAGTTGCTCCAGTTGCCTTTCTCACCTCACCTGACTTGCCAGATCAGTACTGAGTCTTCCCTGCCCCTCTCCTCTAGTCCGCGTCCACCAGCACGTCAGTCCTGTCTACCGAGCAGCTTTCTTCTGCTCCAAGTGGCGAATTTTCTAACATTAGCACCGTTTTAGGGTTTCCCCTGTACCCTCACTTGCCCCTGACCACCATCAGCAAGAATTCCAGTGCAGGTAGCCAAACTGTGCTTCTTTCCTGGGAGATTGTGGGTAACCACAGACAGAGGTTTTCTCTGGGAGACAGAGGAGAAGTCAGGAACAGAAGAGAGCATCTAGGAAATGGAACGTTTCACTTGCCTCCTGAACTGCCCAGGAGTGCCTTGCCTGCGCCAACAGCACGTGAAGAGATGTGGGCTGTGAAGGGGCCCATCGTCCTCTACGACCATGACATAACCGAGTGTCTAGCTTAGTGGCACACTCCACAATGTTCACACGGGAACTAAGCAGTTTGCCTAGCAACGTTCACATGGGCAGTACTTCCTGAACTCCGTTTGAGAGCACCACGAACACTGTCTTCGCTCCTTCAGCCACAGTGTAAGAAAGCGAAGCCGCATGTGGGCCAAGCAAGTGTGTGTGTTGTGGGCGGAGGGAGAACTCAGTCACTTCAGGGAGTGTCCTAGGGTGACAGCTGAAATGTCAACACCCATCTGTCCTGATGAGGCATAACAATAAAACACTGTGACTAATTTTTGGCTTTGGCATGACCTAATTAAGATAGTGACCCCAATTTAGATAAAACAATGAGATTCAACTACATATTATTTAAATCTCTCGATAGTGGCTGTCATGTGAAGAGTTTAGAAAAAAATTATATAATGAAGCAGTAAAGAGAGAAGGTGAATCCAAGCAGGTGGTAAAGCAAAATACTGTAGGGATCGGAGATTCTAAAAGTCACTCAAATGTAAAATAATGGTGTGATGCTAACATTTGGCAAGCACTGACAAAGCACCTGGTGGGCTTTATGAGTCTCATCTGTGTCGCAGGCACAAATGCAGTTCGCGCCCTGGCCTATGGCCTTTCCAATTACCACGTGACCTAATTCAGCAAAAAATGTAGTCCTGAAAACTGCTTATGAATGTTATACAAAATTGTTTGGAATGACATAATTTTTTCTTCAGTAGACAGGCATCTTTAAAGAAAATTAATCCCTTTATCAGTAACATGTGCATATTTGATGTTTGATATTTAATCTTATAATGATTAACAGAACTTAGCCTTTTAGAATACTAGGAGAGAGTTATAATCCCAATTTAAAATGAGTAGATTTGTGATTTTAAGCTGAAACCTGTTTAAAAAATGTGTTTACTAAGCCCTGGCTGGTGTAGCTCAGTGGACTGAGCGTGGGCTGCGAACCAAAGTGTCGCAGGTTTGATTCCCAGTCTGGGTATATGCCTGGGTTGCAGGCTATGACCCCCAGCAACCGCACATTGATGTTTCTCTCTCTCTCTTTTTCTCCCTCCCTTCCCTCTCTAAAAATAAATAAATAAACCCTTTTAAAAAATGTGTTTACTAGTTGGACAAAGGATGCACTGAAAAATAAAATTGAATATATGAAATTTATACACTCAATTTAAAATGTTTAAAGAAATTTAGTGATGAATTTGTAAATCAGACTGAAAATTAATCAAAGGCCCCCTTAAAAGCAAGTGTTAAAATTTACTGGATTTTGAAGTAAGTAATATTTGAAAGTTGAACTTGGAAACTAAATGTTTTTAAAAGTATAAACCTAATAAATTAAGTATTAATTTTGAAAGCAAAAGCAACACTGAATAATCTTTTCTGAGCACAAAAAGTTGCATCAAAGGCACTAAAAACTGACGTTAATTTTTTAACTTATCAAAACTTGCACATAGTAGAGGCCCCACTAAGTGATATTTTCATCACTCAAAACTTTTCAAACTCACCTTTTGAGATTATTTTCAGAGCCAGTTTAGATTCCTTTTCCCCTTTTCAAATGTACTCAGGCATCTTAGTTGGGAATTGGGTGACAAAAGAATTGGGTTGTTGACATATTACAACAAATGTAATATGTCAACAACCCAAGGTACCACGGTTGAACACAGGGGACCCAAAAGATAGGACCTCATGCATGGTGGCAGGGTGTTTCCTCTCCCAGGGTACCTCCTGGCACCTCTGGAATTATATACCTCCTAGGCAACTGGCTTGCCTCCCTTCCAGAAGTGTGAAGAGAAAGCTTTTCCAGCAGGAACTCAATCCATGCACAGATTAGAACTTCAGCTGAAGCTCAAAAAATTCCCAACAGTTCTGGATGGGAGGGATTTGATGCAGAACCACTAACAGAAGTACGGATGTGTTCTCATTCAGTTTGGGGATTTCTCAAATACTCATGACACTTTACTGGGACCCTGTTGAAAGCTACTGCAAGAATCCAAAGCAAGCAGCACTGCAGGCAGAGACAGGCAGAGGTGTCTGCAGAGGCAGCAACAAAATGGTCCAAGAGATGTCATGACATGGGGCACCAATTCCACTAGGAGGCAAATGGAAATTGCCTTCTGATTGCGGTTGACTGTGTATTCCTTTCAGTTCAAGTAGCCCCAGACTCAGGAGATTAGATTAAGATATGGGGTATGAGCAGGAGGCAGATTATGGGGGGAAAATTGCAAAAGAGAAATCTTTAGATTTGACTTATGGTCTTAACCACCTTCATATAATTTAGGCACAAAGAATCAATTCATTTTTATTTATGGTGTGTGTGTGTGTGTGTGTGTGTGTGTATGTATTTGAAATGGAAAACTTCATGCACATTTTTCCTCAGGACTGTGAACACTTGCAAATTACTACCGCCATAATTGCTCCCATCTTTATTTAATTAGCTAAGAAGTGGGTCAAGGAATGAAGATTTCACCACTTTCAATAAATAAAAAATGATAGATTCACACCCATTTTTTTTTCTGATCCTCATGAAATCAATGACAATGAACAAAGTGATTCCTTAGTATTTGCTCTGAAGTCAATTGCTTTTAATGCATGTCAGGTAATCCTAAACACAAATTCCACCAGCTTTCGCAGGGAATCTCAGGCAAATGCTCAGCATGAATATAAAGTAGTATTTCCACAAAGAACTGTGTACTTTACACCTTACTGTAGGCTACCTTTAGAGCCGGACAGCCCAGCCTGCTGTTTATCCACCGCTCACACATCTGTATCAATAGCAATAAATTCAGAAGGTCTGAGAAGCCCTGGGGACCTTTAAGGGTCATTCATTTGTTCCATCATTCACTCATTCATTCCATTCAAATCTTCATTAAACACTTAATACACACAAGACACTATGCTAGGCTCTGGACACCATGTATTCACAGGTCTGAAAAGTTTTACGATTTGTTTCCTTTGTTTGAAGTACCATCAAGGACACAGCTCCTCTCAGGGGGAACGGTGCTAGTTAGCATTGGAAATTGCAGCGTGGCTCAGCAAGCCAAGTAGATTAGTAAAGATTAATAAAGATTACTAGTGTCTAAGGGGGTTCTAAGTTCTCATTTATTCCAGAATGACCCTAGGACCTCAATTTGAATATATGGATAATGGGAGAAATGCCTTCTCTCCTGGGGATTATAATAGCAAATTTCTAGCAAAAAAAAAATGATGGCTAGGACTCGGGGGCAGGGAAGACAGTGTGTGCAGTGAAGGGGCTGAAGATCTCTGGGTGCATAGGGTGGCCCCAGTGCCTGGGGGCTGGGATACGTGGGGAGATCATTCAGCTGCCCTGTGCCTCAGTTTACTCATTTATAAATCAGGGATAACACTGGCCTCCTCACAGGATATTGTGACAAATAAGATGCCATGAGAGAAGTACTCAGCAGGATGCCTGGCACATGGTAGGCACCCAAGTAAGCACTGAATGAACAAACAAAGGAATAAATGGAAAAGTAGCTCTTGTAGAAGACAGAGAATAGGACTGAGCATCAGGAACACCAAAGAGGAAAAAGCAGAGTCTTTCTTCTTACATTTGCTCTTTTTCTCTGGCTTAGGCCAGGGTGGGCCAGGAGAGCAGTGCGAGGAAAGGCCCAATGCTGAAAGCGGGAGTTTTATGGATTAACGGGGACAAGAGAGAGTTAGGGGATGCAGTTCCCCAAATTGCTCCATCACATAGGATAGTCCTATGTCTACAGAAATCCCAGAATTTCAAATATTCTTCATTAAAGATGCTTATACTTACATTGAAACAATTGCCCTACTTCCACTTTGGAAATGATACTTGCTGCTCCCTTGGGCCTCTTCAGGAAACCAGGCCTAGAAGATTCCTTTCAGCAGCCTGTGAGTTTGTCTGGCCATGCTCTCACCTTATTCTTCCCTCTGCCTTGCTTAAGTGCTCAAGGGCTGGGGAGGGGAGGGAGAGCGCCACAAAGTCACATCCTCCAGACTTAGTCCTGGACGAAGAGCTTTGAGAGGTACAACTACGGTTACTTTGAGGAACTTAATTTCTGCTCCTTCCCTACCTCAGCATGATTTTACCTGTTGTGCTCTCCAAATAGTTTGGGGGAGGTGCCACAGAAGATGACTGGCATATCTATAAAAACTTTAAAAGTCATAGTTATCTTTAAAGTGACATGAGGCCAATTCCTTAATGCATCTCAGCTGTCATTTACCAATCTGTAAAATGGAACACGATACCTTTGACATTGGCTGATGAAACATAATGCTAGAAAAGCATCAGTCACATACTTGGTG